GTGTAGTTTCTCACACTTATATTCTGTCTATGCTGCTGTGTCTTAAAAATATATGAGTTGAACTGTGTCTCTATCTTGATTAGGGAACATAAACTAGAATGATATGGACAATACAATGACCATAGTACATAGATATATGTTTGTTTCATGTTGTTATCCTGTCCACCTTACTACTGAACCGGTTTACCGAAATGAGTTTATTATACTACAAGCTAAACCTGTGATGTGTCTGCTTGTTTCTCTTGTAGTATGCAAACAGAATATTGGAGAAGAGCACCCCCACTATGCAATGGTAGAGAAAGTAATGCAGATAAGGTTCAAGATAGTGAGACAACCCTGTTGGTCTCCAAGAAAGGTGATAAAAACGATCTTGTAGACAGTGAGAAAACCCCACGGTTCTACGTTGATGTAGTGTTCGAGTTACTGGCCAGTACCGCTGGCACAAGCTCTTCGAACTCGCTGCCTGAATCACTTCGGCTTCTTCAGTCTCAGCTACAAGCTGAAAGGCATCAGTCAGTTGTGCTGCGGCAAGAAGCCGAAGGACTGAGGAAGTCCCTGTAGAATTCAGATGTGTACTTTCTTGTGCAATAGCAAGCGCTGGAGGATTTAAGCGCCAAACAAGAGAAAGTTAATAAGCTTGCTAAGCATCTTGCCAGCATTATGGGTACCCAGGATATTGTTTCTTAAACTCTTCTGAAGTGGTTTCAATTCTGGACTTGTTTTGCCGCGGCGTTTATATGCTGTTGTGTTCCCTATATTTGCACTGGTGGTGAACTTTGATGCCCAGTGGATGTAATATGTGTAATAGCCGTGATAGCCCAGCATAAGTTGCTTGCTTATTTATTTCCTTGTTGTCTTGTTTATTTGTTTGCTTGTAGTTAGTGCAGTTCTTTTTCTGCGGTTTGCTAGTGGCTGCAACAACCTATTTTTTAAAACTAGGCCACAATAACCATGGGCTAATATTTACTGTAGTGACACTGGGCCTCCTACGGGCCGTAGAAACAGTGGGCCTTCTACGGGCCATAGAAACAGTAGGCCTTCTACGGGCCGTAGAAGCATTGGGCCTTCTACGGGTCGTAGAAACAATGGGCCTTTTACGGGCTGTATCATCAATGGGCCTTATACGGGCTGTATGATCGATTGGCCAAACATGGGCCAATAATAGGCCGCATTATGGCCGTAAACGGGCTAGAGTTGGAATCGTCATGGGCCGACCATAACGAGCCATCGTTAATAGGTTGTATTTGATGACGCTGTGAAAACGGCCCAATGTATTAACGGACCACAAACGGGCCGACTGTAACCACGGACTGAATTTGGCCCACAAGCAGAAAATGACAGTAATGGGCCATAAGTAAACGAATGCTCGAAATGAGCCCAAGAATAAATGGGCTCTGAGAAGGCCGAAAGATAACATGGGCTGGAAACGGCCCAATTGAATAACGTGCCCTTAATTGGTATAAAGTGATACACTGTTCACTACGGGCCAGTTTCACCACGGGCCGTTAATGGGTCTAAAGTGATACACTGTTCATTGCGGGCCAGTTTCACCACGGGCCGTTAATAGGCCAAGAGTTACATAGGGCCTCATATGGGCCGAAAGACGTCATGGGCCACACATGGGCCAGAAGTGAAAACGGGCTAGAATCATATTGGATGGCCCAGATGACGCTACTGGGCCTAATTCGGATAGGGCGTAACGGGCCTTGGGTTAGCGGGCTGTAAATGGGCTATATGCGAACAGGCCGTTAACAGGCTTTCCATGGGCCGGCCCATCACCTTTTGACCAAGTCAAACGGGCCGGCCTTTTCACAGGAATGGGCCTCTGTTGGGCCGTGCCACGTGTCGACGTATCATTGGCGCCTTCTGTCCAATGAGTGAATGACATATGTGCCAACAATGAGCCGACACGTGTTTCCTCCAGCCAATGATGATTTTACACGTGGAAAATCCCCATTGGTTGGGGCTGTTAACGGGTTATCGGATCCAAAACCCGACCCAATAGCTTAACGATGTTCCGTTACGGTGGATGCCATGTGTCGGTCACCCTTGACGAAAGCACTTCTGTGACGCGCGATTTATCGTCATGGAAGTGGACACTTCCGTGATGATAATTTTGGTAGTGTCATGGAACACTTCTACGATAGCACGAGTATGACTATCTTGATTCTGTCATAAATTTGTCATGGATGTACATGCATGACAAAAAACGCGACCTACTGTGATAAACACATATCATCACAAAAGTGTATTTTTTTGTAGTGCTTGGGGCTAGCTTGCCCATACTCCCGTTCGGCCTGCTCGAAGCCTGGCTGGGCGGGATTATTTTCGTCCTCTGCATTATCCAAAGCGTTATTGTCTCTTGTGCCGGTATCGCTATTTTTGCTATGACGAGGCTTAGAGTGGCGCCAATGACGCCGGTGGTTAGATTGCTTCTTAAGGGGATTATCCTCCGTTGCCTCATCGCCATCGCTTTCTTTGGGGGTGTCCACCATATATATATATATATATATATATATATATATATATAGGGAAAATTCATCCTACCACCCGGTGGTAGTTACCTATATATATCCAGAAACATTTTCCACCTATATATAATTTATCGATAATACCCGGTATTACCTGATACTCTCTGAAACCCTTCCGGTGACCCTGAAATGCTTCCGGATCCTCTCGGAACTATTTTGAATATCCATAAAATAATTCCACAAATATATTCTCATGAATCTTGTCCTACTAACACTCAACAGGTTGTGATTGCCTTAATCTTGTGACCCTTTAGGTTCGGTAACTCATAGACATGAACAAAACCATTCCTTTAATGACCGGCAGCGGGACCGTGGATGTCTATATCGGTCCCTATGAGTACATGAATGATATTCGATTGAACCTTTGGTTATCATGTGATGTTACCTTTGCTTCTCGATACTTCACAAAACCCGGGATGCATCGGTATCCTCCCGAGTCATCACTATGCTCGCTATACCAAAATCCTCATTACCGGTTTTGTTCTACTTTCTCGTTATTGTGTTCCGGCATCCCCGTGACAAAGTCACATGTGTTTGGCCAGACGATGATTGATGTCGTTACACCGAGAGGGCCCTAAAAATATCTCTCTATTGCCGGAGGAGCAAATCCCATTCTCGAGCTACCCGACCACTTGTCAAACTTTCCGATGAACCTGTAAGTTGTTGTTATGATCACAGTGTTATATGTGACGTTTGAGCAACCCCAAAGTTCGCCGTATGGTAAGAAGTGACCACGATACTCTCATGGTCTAAGGAGCAATATCACACGTTAACACTCCGTGTTATTACAATTGAATGCAGACGATATTAACTCAATTCATAACAAACAAGATTAGGTCGGTTCAATATGGTCGTTCTTCCAACGTCATAATCTCAATGTTGTTTTAGGATCATCGTTATACTTAACGATATCCCAAGATCTGAAAAACATGATCAGCAAAAAATCTTGAGCTAGTCTTAGAGGCGAGACTAGGAACCTTTTATTTTACCATTTATCATCCCACACGTGCATATGAGTTTTCCGTTGAATCGCTTATTCCAGGATCATAACAGTTATAACATAGAATATAAACTCTTTAATTATGAAATATGAAAATATAATAATACATACATTATTGCCTCAAGGGCATATTCCCACCATACTTCATACTTTTCCACTGACAGAATATTCTGCCTCTATGAGACACACATATTTTAAACCTGGGGTTTGAAGGACCAACTATTCAGATATACTCCCTCCATCCTAAAATAATGTCTCAGCTTTATACTAATTCTAGTACAAAGTTATACTAAAGTTGATACACTTATTTTGGGATAGAGGGAGTACAAGATAAGAGCTTCCATATATTCTGTATTTTTCCGGATTATTACAACAGTTAAAAAATGCTCCAAGATGGGTCTGGATGATAATTGCAATTGGCAAATGAGCACTAGTATATCCCATCAATTGTTGGGTTGATTGCGGTTCTTTTGCGTCACCAATTAATATCTTCGACCGACAATTGCATATCATTTCCTTTCCTTGTTTGAGTTGCTTATAATCTTATCCTGCGGCATATGGTTGATTTTGTGCAATTGCCCGTGTGGCGTAGATTTGGTATCCGGTGTTTGCCTGACACCGAGTGGACGGAGTTGTACGTGTCACGAGTATAGCGCCCTATACTACTACCTTTGGGTTAGCAATAGGCTATAGCTAGTGCGTGGTGCAGCACTCATACATCCTCCTTGTCACATCGCCCACGCAAATGCCTGATTGTTCGGAGCAAACGCCGTTCTGGGTGCAATCTGCAATTTTACTACGTACGTAGTTATTACTCTCTCCGTCCGACAATATTTGTCATCAAAATGGATAAAAAAAGATATATGTAGAAGTAAAATACGTCTAGATACATCTCATTTCATCCATTTTGATGACAAGTTTTTCCGGACGGGGGGAGTAGTATACAAAAGAACCTTTTTACTACTCTTGCGCAAATTATTAGGTGATGTATGTGCAAAGATTGCCAGTCTTTGGTGAGAAAGATGGTGCAGCGAAACTGCTTCACACACGACAGTGTGGGCGCCTTCCTCACCAGCTGGGCCTTGGTAAGATCTACTCCCTCCGTTTCAAAATAGATGACCCAACTTTGTACTAAAGTTAGTATAAAGTTGAGTCATCTATTTTAGAACGGAGGGAGTAGCAGTGAGCAAACAATACTATACAGTACGTACATGAGTAGGCCCACTGACCAGTCAGCGTCTACTAATAAACCGTTCTTCTTCTCTCGTAAAGTTTCCACAAACAAAACCCCCATCGCGCACGGCCTCCCCGCGGGCCCACCTCGCGTTGAAACCTCGCTCGTTTCTTTTAACCACTCATCAAGTCTCATAAGTCCTCCCTTCCGTCTCCTGCCGCTCGCCGACCCCGTCGCCGTCGCCGTCGCTGGCGTGCGCGGGCGCGATATTCCGCCGAGCACCTCGCGCGCCGCCATGTCCGGCAAGGGTTGCCTCCCTGAGGGCGAGCTCGCCGCGCTGTCCAGGGTCTGCCGCGACGGGGCCGCGGCGGCGCGGCTCAAGACGGGCTCCCTGCTCGCAATCCTCATCGCCAGCGCCGTCGGCGTCTGCCTCCCCGTCGCGCTCACCAGGGCCTTCCGGGGCCGGGACGGGTACGCGCGGGGCCTGCTCCTCGTCAAGTGCTACGCGGCCGGGGTCATCCTCTCCACCTCCCTCGTCCACGTCCTCCCGGACGCCTACGCGGCGCTCGCCGACTGCGCCGTCGCGTCGCGCCGGCCCTGGAAGGACTTCCCCTTCGCGGGGCTCCTCTGCCTCGTCGGCGCGCTGCTCGCGCTCCTCGTCGACCTCTCCGCCTCGTCACACCTCGAAGCCCACGGCCACCAGCAGCCGCAGCAGGAGGAGGGCCAGCCCTACGCCCCAATCCCCACCACCAAGAAGGCCCCCGCCTTCGAGCTCACCGGCGAAATGAGCCCCAGGAAACGCGCTTTCCTGGACGAGAGTGACCGCGACGACAAGAATGGCGGCGACCCGGACCGGGACGACGTGGCGCTCTTCGGTCCCAAGAAAGGCGCCCGGCTGCCCCGCAGCGATGAGCCCGTGGTCCCTGTTGTCGGGTGCCATGGCGCTGGGCATGAGGTGGTGGAGGTCGGGGAGGGGGAGGAGGAGGAGGCGAGGAAGAAGCAGAAGATGGTGTCCAAGGTGCTGGAGATTGGGATAGTGTTCCATTCCGTCATCATTGGGGTGACCTTGGGGATGTCGCAGGACGTCTGCGCCATCCGGCCGCTCGTCGTCGCGCTCTCCTTCCACCAGGTCTTCGAGGGGATGGGCCTAGGCGGCTGCATCGCACAGGTCAGAATCCAACATATGCAACTCAATTTGGTGTGATGTTTCTGTGCGATTGAAGGATTCATCATTGAATTGTTATATTATTAAGAGAATTCATCATTGAAAAATTAGTCTAGTACTCCCTCTGTTCACTATTATAAGATGTTCTAAGCTTTTTTCTGATTCGGATGTATATGGATGCCATTTTAGTGTGTTTGTTCACTCGTTTCAGTCTGTATGTATATCATATTGAAATATCTAAAACATCTTAGAACGGAGGGAGTACAGTTTTGTTCATATTCTGACTTTCGGTGTGAGTTTTGTGCGGCATATTTGCAATGGTGTAATTAGGAAGTCGGCAGCTTATTTAAAAAAATTCATGTCAGTGTTGTCTTTCCTGTTGACTGATTTTCTTAAGAAAGACGAGCCTATCATGGACCTGTGGTCATACTTTATAGATTTAGTATAATAATATGTGATTAGCTACCTATGTTGATGTCGAATACAGTATTAAGCTAATGCTTTGCACATACAAACGACAACGGGTTTGTTCCCTCGTATGTTGATTTAGATGTTTGTTTTCTCTGTCTTTGAATAATCCTGTCATGTCATTGTCTTAGTTCAGAGTTGGCATGTCTGCCATATACTGTATCACTTTGTCAGCCAAGAAATACTTATAGCTGAATATGATTTGTTGAGCTCCTTGTGTTACCCTGAACCCTCCGAGTAACTTTGAAGGTGATTATCGGTGGAAGGATCCCTGCTGTACAGCGAGCCCTTTTTTCTCACAGTGGCATTTACTTTAGCAGCCAAAGTTTTGAGGCCTGAACTTTCTGTATGATATATACTCATGGAGGCCTAACTGTTTTGGTAGACATTTTTTTCCCCTTTCAATTCTGTTCGTCCATGTCCCCGTCCATTTTGTTTTTCCAAATTGACACTAGATGAGGCTGATGTGTTATGCACAGAGGAGAAGGGACAGAGGAATAGCACTTGGTAGGTCTTTAAAGTCCTTTTTAATTTGGTGGTATTGCGGTGGAGAGCAATATCCACAAAGCACTTTGACATGCTAAGGAAAATCCAAAAAAGAATAAAGGAATGAGGTTTCAAGATGCGCCCAAATGGTAGGATGACTAATCAGTTGAAACTGAAATCTCCAGTTTTAGCAAAGGCACTAGTGCAATTCCTATCCTTTTTTTCAGAGCCATTGCCATAATGTATCAAACAGAGCCACCTGCAACATTCATTTTGTATTTATGCGTGTTAAATAGTCATAACTTTAGATGGCACGACCACTGTGGAGCAATTTCCAGCTGTATACCTTACCACTTTCTGTATATGTGTATTCGCTTATAGTCATCCATACTTGCCATATGATGATCTGCTTTGGAAGTTCTCCCCTGAAATTGTAGCACCACATAAACACCAGTTAGAAGGGTTTTGTGAAGTTCATTGATGACTGAACGCATACTTGTCTATTTCTCACAGGCTGGTTTCGGAATGGCAACAGTGGGTTACATGTGCATAATGTTCTCGGTGACAACACCATTGGGAATACTTCTTGGGATGGCAGTCTTCCATATGACTGGTTATGACGATAGCAGTCCAAATGCCCTAATAATTGAGGGCCTTCTTGGTTCACTCTCTGCCGGAATCCTTGTCTACATGGCGCTCGTGGACCTCATTTCTCTTGATTTCTTCCACAACAAGATGATGTCATCATCTCTGAAACTGAAGAAGGCCTCTTATATTGCATTGGTGCTTGGATCTGCTTCTATGTCGATATTAGCTCTCTGGGCATAGGTCATAGTGAAATGTATAGAGGGATCATTCTCAGATTCCAACATCTTGCAGTGCATATCTATGGACTCATACTTCCCCTATGTATATCTGAAATGACACGTTATGGGGAACTGGAAATGGAAATCGACCAATGCTTCTGTTACTTTGCAGCTAAAACTGATGCCTGTTATACACTAATGTGTATAACCAACACCCTGATTTACCTTTCAGTTGATACCGTGCACTGTAATAGACTGGACTTTTCTTAAAGATGAAACCTTATATTGTTGCCAAATTTGGAATTCATGTTCAGAAGGAAGGCATCCTTGTGTGTAGAGTTAGTAAGTTCCTTGTATAGCTGCAATTTGCAAATTTTTCTTCACTTAATTAAGAATGTAGATCATCAACTTTCTGCCCAAGAATTGCTCTCCGGGCTACAGGTTGATGTTTACCACCAGTAAGTATGCCTGCCATGATTTATTTATTTTTAATTATCCCGCCGTTGCTCATTTTGTTCTGCATTTAGTTTTAAGAGAAAAATACTACTCCCTCCGTTCTTAAATATAAGTCTTTGTGGAGATTTCACTATGGACCACATACGGATGTATCTAGATGCATATTAGAGTATAAATTTAGTCATTTTGCTCCGTATGTGGTCCATAGTGGAATCTCTTCAAAGACTTATATTTGGAGTAATAATTCTCCTAGCATCACATTATCATCTACAGGCAGTGGTTCCGGACAAGGCAGTGGATGCTTAGTATGCTGCCCTTCATACTTTACCTCTGTATATTTCATGTACAACACCATTAGATCTTGGAGCCATTGATTTTAGTTTATCAAACCTGTCTGAATTCAGATTACCTGATAAATTGTTTAACCTAGGTCAATTGCTTGCAAATCTGAAAGCTCCTCTCTATTTCTGCTGCCCTTTGAGATCCATTACCTGAGTCATGTAAGTTGTTACTGCGGTTTTAGGACGGAGGGAATAAATCGCAATGCAAGAATTCTAAGCTGTTGGAAGTTTTCCAAGCTGCGGTGAGAAATGGTCATTAAATTGATTGCTAATGCTCCGTAGATTAAGAACCTAGAAATTTCCTTTCATATATAGCCTTACCATTGCATTGCATTGGTGATGGATGAGGCCACAAGGGGTATACAAGAAGTGTTGGAAATATGCCCTAGAGGCAATAATAAATTAGTTATTATTATATTTCCTTGTTCATGATAATTGTCTTTTATTCATGCTATAACTGTATTATCCGAAAATCGTAATACACGTGTGAATACATAGACCACAATATGTCCCTAGTGAGCCTCTAGTTGACTAGCTCGTTGTGATCAACAGATAGTCATGGTTTCCTGGCTATGGACATTGGATGTCGTTGATAACGGGATCACATCATTAGGAGAATGATGTGATGGACAAGACCCAATCCTAAGCCTAGCACTAAGATCGTGTAGTTCGTTTGCTAGAGCTTTTCCAATGTCAAGTATCTCTTCCTTAGACCATGAGATCGTGTAACTCCCGGATACCGTAGGAGTGCTTTGGGTGTATCAAACGTCACAACGTAACTGGGTGACTATAAAGGTGCACTACAGGTATCTCCGAAAGTGTCTGTTGGGTTGACACAGATCGAGACTGGGATTTGTCACTCCGTGTAAGCGGAGAGGTATCTCTGGGCCCACTCGGTAGGACATCATCATATGCGCAATGTGACCAAGGAGTTGACCACGGGATGATGTGTTACGGAACGAGTAAAGAGACTTGCCGGTAACGAGATTGAACAAGGTATAAGGATACCGACGATCGAATCTCGGGCAAGTACAATACCGCTAGACAAAGGGAATTGTATACGGGATTGATTAAGTCCTTGACATCGTGGTTCATCCGATGAGATCATCGTGGAACATGTGGGAGCCATCATGGGTATCCAGATCCCGCTGTTGGTTATTGACCGGAGAACGTCTCGGTCATGTCTACATGTCTCCCGAACCCGTAGGGTCTACACACTTAAGGTTCGATGACGCTAGGGTTATAAAGGAAGTTTGCATGTGGTTACCGAATGTTGTTCGGAGTCCCGGATGAGATCCCGTACGTCACGAGGAGTTCCGGAATGGTCCGGAGGTAAAGATTTATATATGGGAAGTCCTATTTTGGCCACCGGAAAATGTTCGGGATTTTTCGGTATTGTACCGGGAAGGTTCTAGAAGGTTCCGGAGTGGGGCCCACCTGCATGGGGGGACCCACATGAACGTGGGTAGTGGGGGAAAGGCCCCACACCCCTGGTCAAGGCGCACCAAGATCCCCCCTTAGAAGGAATAAGATCATATCCCAAAGGGATAAGATCAAGATCCCTAAAAAGGGGGGATAGCAATCGGTGGGGAAGGAAATGATGGGATTTCTTTCCTCCCACCTTTGCCAACGCCCCAATGGACTTGGAGGGCAAGAAACCAGCCCCCTCCACCCCTATATATAGTGGGGAGGCGCATGGGAGCTTCACCCTTGCCACTGGCGCAGCCCTCCCTCTCCCAAGTGCTCCTCCTCTCTCGCGGTGCTTGGCGAAGCCCTGCAGGATTGCCACGCTCCTCCACCACCATCACGCCGTTGTGCTGCTGCTGGATGGAGTCTTCCTCAACCTCTCCCTCTCTCCTTGCTGGATCAAGGCTTGGGAGACGTCACCGGGCTGTACGTGTGTTGAACGCGGAGGTGCCGTGCGTTCGGCACTTGATCATCGGTGATTTGAATCACGACGAGTACGACTCCATCAACCCCGTTCACTTGAACGCTTCCGCTTAGCGATCTACAAGGGTATGTAGATGCACTCTCTTTCTACTCGTTGCTGGTCTCTCCATAGATAGATCTTGGTGATACGTAGGAAATTTTTTGAATTTCTGCTACGTTCCCCAACAGTGGCATCATGAGCTAGGTCTATTGCGTAGATTCTTTGCACAAGTAGAACACAAAGTAGTTGTGGGCGTTGATGTTGCTCAATATGCTTACCGTTACTAGTACAATCTTGTTTCGACGGTATTGTGGGATGAAGCGGCCCGGACCGACCTTACACGTACTCTTACGTGAGACAGGTTCCACTGATTGACATGCACTTGGTGCATAAGGTGGCTAGCGGGTGCCAGTCTCTCCCACTTTAGTCGGAACGGATTCGATGAAAAGGGTCCTTATGAAGGGTAAATAACAATTGGCATATCACGTTGTGGTTTTGCGTAGGTAAGAAACGTTCTTGCTAGAAACCCATAGCAGCCACGTAAAACATGCAACAACAATTAGAGGACGTCTAACTTGTTTTTGCAGGGTATGCTATGTGATGTGATATGGCCAAGAAGAATGTGATGAATGATATGTGATGTATGAGATTGATCATGTTCTTGTAATAGGATTCACGACTTGCATGTCGATGAGTATGACAACCGGCAGGAGCCATAGGAGTTGTCTTAATTTATTGTATGACCTGCGTGTCATTGAACAACGCCATGTAATTACTTTACTTTATTGCTAACCGGTAGCCATAGTAGTAGAAGTAATAAGTTGGCGAGACGACTTCATGGAGACACGATGATGGAGATCATGATGATGGAGATCATGGTGTCATGCCGGTGACGATGATGATCATGGAGCCCCGAAGATGGAGATCAAAAGGAGCAAATTGATATTGGCCATATCATGTCACTATTTGATTGCATGTGATGTTTATCATGTTTATGCATCTTGTTTACTTAGGACGACGGTAGTAAATAAGATGATCCCTTACAACAATTTCAAGAAGTGTTCTCCCCTAACTGTGCACCGTTGCTACAGTTCGTCGCTTCTAAGCACCACGTAATGATCGGGTGTGATGGATTCTTACGTTCACATACAACGAGTGTAAGACAGTTTTACACAGCGAAAACACTTAGGGTTAACTTGACGAGCCTAGCATGCACAGACATGGCCTCGGAACATGGAGACCGAAAGGTCGAGCATGAGTCGTATAGTAGATACGATCAACATGAAGATGTTCACCGATGATGACTAGTCCGTCTCACGTGATGATCGGACACGGCCTAGTTGACTCGGATCATGTAATCACTTAGATGACTAGAGGGATGTCTATCTGAGTGGGAGTTCATAAGATGAACTTAATTATCCTGAACATAGTCAAAAGACCTTTTGCAAATTATGTCGTAGTTCACGCTATAGTTCTATTGTTTTAGTTATGTTCCTAGAGAAAATATAGTTGAAAGTTGACAGTAGCGATTATGCGGACAGTAGAAAGCTTATGTCCTTAATGCACCGCTCAATGTGCTGAACCCCAAACGTCGTTTGTGGATGTTTCGAACATCGAACATACACGTTTTGATAACTACATGATAGTTCAGTTAAATGGTTTAAGTAGAGGCACCAAAGACGTTTTCGAAACATCGCGGAACATATGAGATGTTTCGAGGGCTGAAATTGGGATTTCAGGCTCGTGCTCACGTCAAGAGGTATAAGACCTCCGACGATTCTCTTAGCCTGCAAACTAAGGGAGAAAATCTCAATCGTTGAGCTTGTGCTCAGATTGTCTGAGTGCAACAATCACTTGAATTGAGTGGGAGTTGATCTTCCAAATGAGATAGTGATGTTTCTCCAAAGTCATTGCCATCGAGCTGCTAGAGCTTCGTGATGAACTATAACATATCAGGGATAAATAAGATGATCCTTGAGGTATTCACGATGTTTGACACCGCGAAAGAAGAAATCAAGAAGGAGCATCAATTGTTGATGGTTGGTGAAACCACTAGTTTCAAGAAGGGCAAGGGCAAGAAGGGATACTTCATGAAACAGCAAATCAGCTGCTGCTCTAATAAAGAAACCCAAGGTTGAACCCAAACCCGAGACTAAGTGCTTCTGTAATAAGGGGAACAGCCACTGGAGCAGCATTACCCTAGATACTTGGTAGATGAGAAGGCTGGCAAGGTCGATAGAAGTATATTGGATATATATTATGTTAATGTGTACTTTACTAGTACTCCTAGTAGCA